GTGGACTGAGAACTCAGTTAGATGAGGTTTGTGCTGAGACCTTAGATGGTTAAAACCCATGCCGAGACCTCGGCTGGACGGAACTTGGGCCGAGACCTCGGCTAGGTGAGCTTAGGCCGAGGCCTTAGATGGATGAAGCTTACGCCGATGTCTCAAGCGGTTGGGGTTTGCAACGAGGCTTCGGTGGGCGTGGCCTGCCACGTTGGCCCTAGCGGTTACGGGCCCAACGGTTACTAAATCTGGACCGTTGGATGGTCTAGATTGAACGGTTGCGATTTCGGGATGTCTTTTCACCTCCCTCATTTACCTTGCCTATAAATAGGGGGGGCTGCTTGGGAAGTTACTTGCTGTAATTTCTCCGAGCGCTCTCGAAACCAGATTTGACCGAGCAAACCGATCAAAGGTAAATTTTGTATTCTTTATTCTTGATAATAAATGGATAGGGCTTATTCGTCGGCAAGGAGCTGGACATCCTCGGGGGCGTCGGATGTTGCGTCAGATAAAGGGGGTCGGATTCAAGCGAAATATCAAGGTTGCCACCACTGCAATGTGAAGTAGTGTTTCCCTCCGATTTTGCCGAGCATGAGGATAGTGATGACGAAGTGGTCGAGGTATCGCCTCCGGTAACCTTAGTTGTTGCTTTGGCACGAGCCACCGAGGTAGATGCTAGAGGTTTAGGTCGGGTCGGCCAGCAGAGTCCACGTGCCGAGACCATTCGCGCCGAAGCAAGTGGGGACGATTTGGAGGTGCTCGGAGATACTCGAGGCAAGGGCGTTAGTGGTCCAAGTGCTCGGCCGAAGGCAAAGATTGATTACGGCACGGTGGAGATGCCCGTGTATGAATGGGTGGATGGAGAGGTCGGAATATACTTCTCGTCGCTCTCGGACCAAGGGTTATTAGACACCTTCGTGTCCTTAGAGAAATGTTTCGGGAGCGGCGACGACGAGTTTCCTCTGCTTGCCGAGGCGTGCGAGGATGAAGGGCCGAACACTGATTTTGTATTCTTGGAGCCAGGGCCCGATGAAGACGACTTCTTTTACGTTTATATGTGTTAGTTCGAGGACCTTGGCATAAAGCTCCCATTTGACGACTTCCAAATGGGAGTTCTTTGAGCCCTGAATGTGGTGCCGACCCAGCTACATCCGAACGCTTGGGCGGCCATGCAAGCGTTCCGGAACCTATGTTTGTGCTTGGGCCTTACAACCCCGACCACTGGCTTTCCTCTACTATTATATATGTCGTCCGAGCAAACCGGTGAAGTGGGTGTCACTAGCTCGAGTGCCGAAACGTGGGTTTTTTCGGGCATTCACGTCGTCTTACAAAGGGTTTAAAAATGGGTTCTTCAATGTTCACTGGGGGTCGGAAATGAGGCCTTGTTTCTACGACCGAGAAGACACTCCTTTATTCCTCTTTTATTGGACGAGGCGGCCGACGCGCTTCGAGGCGATGCCCGCATCAAAGCTCTCTGCCGAGGACAAAGAAATTGTGGAGCTCCTGGACCAGTTGCCGAAGAGTTTGCCTGTCCGAGGCTTCTTAAACGTTTCTGAAACATCTCACTTTGAGATGGCCTTGCTAGGTATGTGTGTTAGGCTTCGGTAGTGTAGCAGTGTTTTGAATTGATGTTAAGGCTTATGTTTTTGCAGGTTTAATGGCCGGAGGTAATCTTGACGTGACCGCTATGCTCGCCAAGAGGGCGAAAGAGGCTAAGGCCAGTGGGAAGGTACCGCTGGCGAGGTCGGCTTTGAAGTTGCAGCGGGATAAGGCCGCTAATGTGATCATCCCCCTGGCCGATGCGAGGAAGAAGGGAAGTAGTTCTCAGGTGTGAGCTGCCGAGCAAAATATAGAGCCGGAACGTCCGAGCTCGTCTAGCAAGCGTCCAAAGTAGCTATCTCTGGAGCAATCGGGTTGTGGTGCTTTCGCCATTCCAGCTTTTGTAGCGGGTTCGAACTTCCTTGTTCCGGACGTGCAGACCGAGAACCTGGTCAGCCTGGACCTCACCATCGGAGGGGGACTCCAATACTTGTAAGGCATGTCCACGGAGGCCTAGTACAAGCTATTCTGCGAGCTTGATGCTCGGACTTCTCTTGTGGCTAAACATGTCATGATGAGGTCCGCCGTCTCGGCAGAAAGGCTTCAAACCCGCTTAAAGGAGGCCGAGGTGACGGTGAAGGAGGCCTTGAGTGCTAATGCTAAGGTCACGGAGTCGGCTGAAGAGTTGAAGAGGGCGGCCGACGCCCACAGGAAGGAGGCTGACGACTTAAAGTTGACGGTGCAAAAGATGAAGGCCGAGGCCACTGTTGCTGCAACTAAGATTGCTCGGCTGAACGAGGCCCATGCCAAGCTCACGGCCGAAGCCACCGATAAGATCCTCGGTCAGCATGATGCCGGCTTCCAGCAAGCGGTCCGACAAGCTCGCTACTTTTGTGAGATTCTGGCTGACATTAATTTTGATGTCAGTCAGGATTTTTATGGTGGTAAGTTCATAAGTTACGCGGAGTTCCCTCAAGGGGCCGAGCCTGACGAGGAGGCTCCTCGCCGAGGCATCTCTACTCAGGTCCCGGTGCCGCCGGCCACGGAGGAGAATGACCCCATCATTGACGTGGTCGGCGATGGGAACCTGGAGGACTCAGCCGCGATGTAGTGGGTCGGCTCTAGTAACAGTAGGCTAGGGTTAGGATTTTTTGTTGATTTTTTGTAACCGGGCCGTTAGTGCCTTTTGTAATTTGGCCATTAGCGCTGGTGGACAAGTGATTTCTTGTAAGTAGCCGTTATGGTCGGCCATACTTTATACTTAAATGATATTTTGCTTTCCAATTTTTTGCATGTTTATAAGCGCCTAGTAATGGAGTCATAAACCGAGTTGTATGTTCAGCCGAGGGGGTGGATTTTCTGGAATTAGTTGATTGATGCATCGTGTGTTCGTTTACACGAAGTGTGGGGTATGCGAGAGCGTTCGGCTAGAGAGTGGTCGGTTTATTCGTGCTCGGTTTTAGAGTGATCGTGAATCGCAAACATGCGTGGTTGGTTCGAGTGTGATCAGCCTGATCGTGCTCGGCCTTGGGATGTCGGGTTATGCGACGTGTGGAGTGTTGAGTACGAGAGTGCTCGGCTCGATAGTGTTTGGTTTGAACATGTTAGATTTAGCAATTTGATACGCGAAGTGCGGAGCGTGCGAGAGTGTTCGGCCTGAGCGTGTAAGGCCTCGGGGTAGGTCACGATTTAATACGCGATGTTAGAGCATGCATGAGTGCTCGGCTTAAACGTGTGAGGCTTAAGCGTGTGAGGCCTCGGAGTCGAGTCATGATTTAATATTCGAGGCATGTTGGATTGCGCGAGAGTGCTCGACCTCGGAGTTGGATCATACGATCTGATGCGTATTTGATCTCGCGAAAGCGCTCGTCCTAGGTACACCTTTAGCTGAGGAGGGTACTCGGGAGGGAAACCTGTCGGGCTCGAGTACGCTTGTGTATGGTCGGCCGAGGGTTGCTCGGTGTCGGCACGTGTCGTAGTGCTCGGCCTAGGTACATCATTAGCCGAGGAGGGTACTCGGGAGGGAAACCTGTCGGGTGCGAGTGCACTAGCTTGAATGGCCGGCCGAGGATTGCTCAGTGACGTCTTGTGTCGTAGTGCTCGGCCTAGGTACATCCTTAGCCGAGGAGGGTACTCGGGAAGGAAACCTGTGGGACGCGAGTGCACTAGTTTGAGTGGTCAGCCGAGGATGACTCGGCATCGGCGTGTGTTATTCGAGGTCGGTCCTGCATGAGTGTGACCTAAGCATATATGCATGGTTAAATAGGAAATGAAATATCAATGTTAAAAAATGTCTATTAATAAAGTGCCTCGTTAAAAATCTTGCCGACCCAAAACCCTCCTTAAGGAAAAAAAAGAGTCGGTCAAGGAAAAGAGTGCACTATTACATCAGTTGTAATACACTTTCAAATGTGAGGAGTTCCAAGTTCTCAGAATTGGTTCTCCTGATAGGTATTCCAGCTTGTATGCCCCGTTGTTTAAGTTGTGTCGCACTCGGAAGGGTTCGTCCCAATTTGGGGCAAGTTTTCCTTGTCACGGATCTTTTCTTGCTTCGCCTGTGACTCTCCAAGCGAGATCTCCTTCGCAAAATTCTCTAGGCTTCACCTTGCTGTCGAATCTTCTCTTGTAGCGCTGCCTGGTGGCCTCGGTCACCACCAGAGCGCGGTCTCGGACTTCTTGTAGAACATCCAAGTTTGCTCGGAGCTCGGCTTCGTTGTTCGATTCGTCAAAGTGAGCTCAGCGAAACGATGGCTCTCCGATCTCCACCGGGAGCATTGCGTCGGATCCATATACTAGTCGGAAGGGGGTCTCTTGCGTGGTCGACTGGGGCGTGCATCGGTAGGCCCAAAGTACCTCGGGTAACTGCTCGGCCCATGCTCCCTTTGCCTCTCCTAGCCGTTTCCTCAACTCTGCTAGGATGACTTCATTGGCTGACTCGGCCTGACCGTTCATTTGTGGGTGCTCGACCGATGTGACCTTGTGTTGTATTCCTAGGCCGGCTAGGAACTCGTTGAGTTTTCGGTCGGTGAATTGGAGGCCGTTGTCGGGCACTAGGGTGTGTGGGATTCCGAACCGGGTGATGATGTTCCTCCACAAGAATTTTTGAACTTGATGAGCCGAGATGCATGCCACGGGCTCGGCTTCAATCTATTTGGTGAACAGATCCACGGCGACAATGAGGAATTTGCATTGCCCCTTAGCAACCGGGAAAGGTCCGAGTATGTCGGCCCCCCATGTGGAGAACGGCCATGCTGGGGGAATGCAATGTAGCTGCTCAGCTGGTCGGTGGATCAAGTTGCCATGTTTCTGACATGGTTGACACTTCCTTACAAACATTGCGCAATCGGTGTTCATGGTTAGCCAATAGTACCCGGCTCGCAAGAGTTTGGAGACGGTCATCCTTGCTCCTGAATGCATTCCGCAAATGCCCTCGTGTACTTCTCTCATCACGTAATCGGCCTCGGCAGAGTCTAGGCACTTGAGTAGGGGGTAGAGAAGCCACGTTTGTACAACTGCCCAGCAATGACGACGTATCTACTGGCTTGAGTTCTCAACCGTTTAGCTTCGGTCGGGTCGTCCGGTGTGATTCCGTTGGTTAGGAATGCCTTGATTTCGGCCCGCCAGTCTTGGGGGTCTTTTGGATCGACGTGATCGGCATCGACACTTCCTACCATTTCCGCCTCGACACTGGGGTGGTAGATCTCTTGTTGGATGATGGTTCTTAACTGTCCTGGCTTCTTGGTCGCGGCCAACCTAGCCAACTGATCGGCTCCGGGGTTGTCTTCGCGCGGGGTGTGTTCGACCAACACCTCCCAAAAGTTCGCCTTCAACTTTTGATAGGCATGGTAGTACTTCATCATGTTGTGGTCTTTTTCTTGGAAGTTACCTTGTTCGGCCACCACCTTGGAGTCAGTTCGGCATTTGATCCTTAATGCTCCCATGTCCTCAGCCAACCTTAATCCGGCCAGCAGAGCTTCATACTCAGCTTGATTGTTCGAAGCTTTGAACCGGAAACGTAAGGATTGTTCTAAGGTTATCCCTTTTGGTCCCTCTAAGATCACTCCTGCCCCGCTCCCCTGGCAATTTGAGGAGCCGTCCACATGGAGGGTCCACCAGTGCTCCTCAAACTGGCCGTGCGGGTAGAGTTCATTTATAAATTCTACCAAGTATTGGGCTTTGATCGGCCCTCTCGGCTTGAAGGTGATGTCAAATTGTGAGAGCTCCACTAACCAGGCCATCATTCTGCCCGCGAGCTCGGGCTTTCCTAAAACCTTAGAGATCGGGCAGTCGGTGTGTACCACTACTCGGTGGCTTTGAAAATAATGTCGTAGGCGTCGTGAAATGTGTACTAAGCCGAGGGCAACTTTTTCTATCAGTTGGTACCGGGTCTCGGAGTCCTGAAGGAGTCGGCTGACAAAGTATATGGGAGCTTGGGTACCTTCCTTTTCTTGTACCAAGACCGAGCTGATCGCCTCATCGGATACAGCCAAGTATACTAGGAGTGAGCTTGAAGGATCAGGTCTCGTTAGGATCGACGGCATCGCCAGGGTTGCTTTCAATGCCGCAAAGGCTTCCTCGCATGGTTCGTTCCACGAGAAGGCCGAAGCCTTCCGTAGAAGCTTAGTCATCGGGTTGATCTTGTCGACTAGACGGGGGAGGAATCGGGACAATGCGACTAACCTTCTGGATAGCCGTTGCATTTCCTTGAGATTGCTCGGACTCCGCATGTTTAAGACAGCTCGGCATTTATCTCGGTTCGCCTCTATTCCCCTAACCGATAGCATAAACCCAAGAAATTTGCCTCCTTTAACTCCGAAGGTACACTTCTCGGGGTTGAGCCTCATGTTGTGCTTGCGTAATTCACCAAAGATTTCGGCCAGGTCCATTATATGGTCGGCCAAGGAATTGGACTAGACCACCATGTCATCCACATAGATTTCGATGTTTCGGTCGATTTGACCCTGAAACACCTTGTCCATTAACCTCTGGTAGGTCGCCCCGACGTTCTTCAACCCAAACGACATCACTTTATAGCAAAAGTTGGCGTCCTCGGTTATAAACGCCGTATTCTCTTTGTCGGTCGAGTGCATCTTTATCTGATTGTAACCGGAATAGGCATCTAAGAAGCTGAAGATAGAGTGTCCGGACGCGCCGTCTATGAGTCGGTCGATGCAAGGGAGTGGATAGGCGTCTTTGGGGAAGGCTTTATTAAGGTCGGTGTAGTCGGTACACATTCTCCACTTGCCATTCGCCTTTTTGACCAACACCACATTGGCCAGCCAGGTGGTGTAGGTGACCTCTCTGATGAATTTTGCTTGCAACAGTTTCTGCACCTCGGCATTGGCGGCCTTTCTCTTCTCGTCTCCCATCTTCCTCTTCTTTTGCGCCATTGGTCGGGCGTCTCGGCATACGGCCAGTCGGTGGCACATGAATTTGGGATCTATTCTCGGCATGTCCGACGCCGTCCATGCGAAGAGGTCTTTGTTGTCTCGAACCACTCGTTTGACCCGGTTTGAGTCGACCTCGCCCAACTGAGATCCCACGTGTGTTACTTGTTCGGGTGCTCGGCCTAGTCAGCCACCATACTTGTTGTCTCTCTATTTTTTTTTAAATAAATTAAAATAATAAAAAATATATAGTGGGTACTTACATGAGTAGTTATTTAAAGAAGATAAAAAGAATTGAGATCAAAGACATTGAAAAAAAAAAGTGATTTAGATTTTTGAATAAAATAAAAGAGGATAAAATAGTTCATAAAATATAAAAATAAAGATCAAAATAATTATTGAAAGGAATATTCTCTTATATAATGATATAGATAATTTGACATCATCAATTTATAATTAGTCGATGTAAGATCTATAACACTTCCTTATTTTTGATAATTAAATATGTTATAAGCTCAAGCATAAAATTTTATGACTAAACATTTGTGATAAGTTCAAATAATTATTATGATAACCTCTAATATCATTTTTGAATAGGGATGGCAAAGTGGGTCATGGCCCGCGGGCTGACCCGTTGGCCCGCCAAAAATTGGCGGGCCGGGCCAA